TGGAATTCCGAATATGAAATTGCCTGCTTTCGCCAAGAGTGAGCTATGGTTTGCTTAGCCGCTAGAAATATGAAGTTCGCCAACTGCCATTGGGGCCGTGAGAGTTGTGGAGTTTTGAAGTGAAGTAGGGCTTGCCAGGGGTCTTTTGAGATAGGGGTGTGAAAGATGGAGGAGAGGAGTTTATATATCTTAGACCAAAATCTAGCTACAAACGGGCACGTCCACCATGTGTGCATAACATCGCCTAGGGCATGACATCCTCTAAAGCAATTGTTAGAGTGAGCCGGGTGGAGGTGGCAAAGGCGCGAGGGTACGAGATACCATCTGGAGAGTACTTTATAGGCTGCCTCTTGGGTGGTGATATTGCGAGAGCACCTGGAGATAGTATCCCAGATTGATCCCCACTCTTCGGGGGGTCTAGTGTGTCGAAGATCCCACTGCCAATTCGAGACATATCGGTGGGTGGCTGTGGAAGAGAGGGCATTAAGCTGAGAGTATAAGAGAGAGACGAGTTTCGGGGAGTTAGGTGTGTGGAGGCAGATGCGTTGGAAAGGGGAGAGAGTCAAGGGGGTAGCAGGATTAGGGAGTAGGGAATGAATCCAGTGTCTGATTTGGATATATCGAAAAATTTCTTGAGAGGGTGGTTGGGCTTTAGCTACTATAGCATCCCATTGGAGCAATTTTGAGTTGTGCAAAAAGTTGAAAAGGGTGGTGAAACCCTGTGTTTGCCACCATGCAAAGGCAGACGGATTGTCCATCGCTGGGGGAAACATAGGGTTCCCCAGGAGAGTAGTTAGGGGAAGGTGTGGGGAAATTAAGGCGGCTGCATATTTAGTGGTGTCCCATATCCGAAGAGTGTGGGTGAGAATCGGGCTGAGGTGGAGAGGGCGATGGGAAGGGGGGAGCCACGGAATAGAGGAGAGCGAACATGGATGCACATTAGGGATCTCCAGCAGGGTCCAGAGAGGAGGATCTACCTGAATATGGAGAGCAGCAATGGACGCAATCTGTGCGGCCTGGTAATATTTCTTGAGGTCAGGGACCCCCAATCCCCCTTGGCGGCGATGACAGAACAACGTCTTCCGAGCCACCCGTGGGCGTTTATCGCGCCAGATAAAGGACATGATGCTGCTTTGCATTGATTTGAGGGCAAAGTTTGGAATTGCTACCGGGAGGGTGCGAAAGAGGTAGAGTAATTTTGGGAGTAGGGTCATCTTGACCGCATGTATGCGGCCCAGCCAGGAGATGGGCAGGGTATTCCAGGAGATCAAAAGGTTTTTAAGGGAACGGAAAAGGGGTATATAATTCGTGGAATATAAGGAGTCGTAGGATGAGGATAGATGTATGCCCAAGTATGGGAGAGAGCGTTGGGCCCAAGCAAAGGTGAAGTTGTCCTTAAGAAGGGCAACATCGGATGGGGGGAGGGAGATGTTTAGGGCTAGAGATTTGGATTGGTTCACCACAAGGCCAGATAGGTTCCCAAAAGCCTCCAAGGTTTTAAAAAGAGACGGTAGAGATATTAAGGGGTGAGTCAGGGAAAGGAGGATGTCGTCAGCGAACAAACTGATTTTAGAAGTAATCCCAGCGACCTCCACCCCTCTTATGGAGGGGTTATTGCGGATCAGCATGGCTAGGGGCTCAATGGCTAAGATAAATAGAATGGGGGAGAGGGGGCATCCCTGTCTGGTGCCTCTGGAGACTGTGAATGAGCTTGAGAAATGTCCTGTGCACATGATTTTGGCGGAGGGATTCTGATAGAGAGTTGTGAGCCATGTGCGGAAGGAGGGTCCAAAGCCCCATTTTGCTAGGGCATAATGCAAGTAGTCCCAAGAGAGCGTGTCGAACGCTTTGTGGATATCTAAAGATAAAAGAAAACCAGGAATTGGTCTTTGTTTCATAAGGTGTATCAGGTGCACCACCTTCCGCACATTATCACCAGCCTGGCGGAGGGGCGTGAACCCCACTTGGTCTCTGTGGATCAGGGAGCTCAAGGATCTGTTCACCCTGTTCGCCAAGATCTTCCCCAAGAGTTTGACATCCGTGTTCAATAGTGATATGGGGCGGTAATTGGCCACGTCCAAGTTGTCCTTACCCGGTTTGGGTAGCATGGAAATATTAGCGGAAAGGGAGGATGAATGAAGGGGAGAGCCGGACTTCATGACATTGAAGAGGCGTACCAAGTGGGGGGCTAGGATGTCCTTAAATTTTTTATAGTAAAGGTTGGAAAAGCCATCTGGGCCCGGGGATTTTGCTGATTTAAGGGTGGCGATGGCGTCTAAGACCTCTGCTTCAGTTATGTCCGAGTCCAAGTCATCTCGACAAGAGGAGGGGAAAGATGGGAAAGGGAGGTCACCAAAGAGGCGGTCAGCCGCAGCCGAATCAAACTGGGGGGGAGGAGAGTAAATTGAGGCCATGTGGGTTTGGAATAGTTTTACGATAGTCGCGGGGTTGGCCGTAACCCCGCCTTGGGGGGTTCGAAGTTTAATCACAGGTTTGGTGGAGGGTATCATGCGGAGTTGTTTAGCTAGAAGAGGGCCTGGTTTGTTAGATCGCATATAAAAAAACTGTTTATTCCAGCGCAGTTCCCTTTCTACTTTTTCATTAAGGAGTAGATTAAGCTCCACCTTGGCGGAGTCCACTTGGGTTTTCAGAGCCGCTGTGGGGGAGGACCTCCAGGCGCTCTCTAGGTCCAATAAGTCATTGGTCAGGGCAGTTATTCTACCGGTTCTGGATTTCTTGAGGTGGGAGGCTAGGTTTATCAGGTCTCCCCTGAGAGTGGCTTTATGGGCCTCCCAAAGGGAGATTGGGGAGGAGACCGAGCCTTCATTCAGGCGAAAGTATGATTGTGAGGCTGATCGGATCGTGGAGAGTGAGGTCTCGGAGGAGAGGAAAGATTCATTCAGGCGCCAATTATAGTGTGGGGGGCGGCCGG